CGAGGCGCCCCCGCGAAGCCCGAGCCACCCCTCGGACAGCAGCACCGACGAGGAGACGCGCGCCGCGCGGGCGGACGAGAACAGGCCCTCCGGGGGCGGGCCGGCGGCGGCGGGCCTGCGGGCGGCGGGCCTCCCGGCGGCGGCCCCTCGTGCGGCGGCCCTTCGGCAGCCCTCCCTCCTCCCTCCTCCCTCCTCCTCCTCCCCCTCCTCCCCCTCCTCCCTCCTCCCGAGAAGGTTCCTGCACCCTAGGCGATGCTTCAGAAAGCCTAGTTTTCGTCCAGGGTCTCGATGATTCTTAACTTTCCAGTGTGAGTCCCAAGATGTTGATAGAAGTTCTGGGTTTTCTTCAAGTTCTGAGACTATGAATTTCTTAACCCATGATTTCTTAAGCATTTCGCAGGGTGTACAGTGGAGGCCCATGCCAAGAAACACCCTGTTTGCCTCCAGGGTGCCCTGGGTTTCTTGCGTTTCATTGATTTTTTTGGGGGGGGGGGGGGGGGAAGCGCGACGTTTTCTTGCGGACTGGCCTCCGCTGTATACCGCTACTCTTCGCCCGTTTTCCCTTTTTTGGGCCTCCTGGGAGGCCCCCGTCGCCACCGCTGGATTCGCCTCGAAATCCCGGTCAGAGCGCACCCCGGGAGAGGTCCCGGCAGTAGCGGTATCAGTACTTTTGTTTTCTCCAGAATCAGCCTATACACAATTTTCGGAAGTCCGCGCGGGCTTCCTCGTATCGGCGCTGGAGCCCCCCTGGCGCGCGGCCCGCGGCCGCGGCCTTTTGGGCGGCCCGTTGGGCGGCCCTTCGGGCGGAGAGGGATGGGGTCGAAGATCGATCGTCCTCCTCCCTCCTCCTTCCTCCTCCCTCCTCCTCCTCCCTCCTCCCTTCTCGTTGCGGGCGCGCCTTCCCCTCTCCTTCCTCTTATGCTCCTCCTCCCGCCTCCTCCTCCTCCTCCTCCTCCTCCTCCTCCTCCGCACCGGTTTCGGCTCGAGCCGTTTTGGTTCGAGCTGCTTACGGGACCCCCCCCCGGCATTCACGGGGCGGTGGCGCACCGAAGTTGCCCAGCAGACGATCGTTGGGCCAGGGCTGCATCTTTCATGGCCACCGCTGGTCGGCTTTGCCTTGTCGCGCGCGCCGTGGTCTCTCGCCACGGGCCCTGCCGCCTGCGGCCGCCCCGCCTCTGGCCAGGCGGTGCGCTACTCGACGGTCTCCGACAGGCGATCGTAAAAAACACGCTGGGCGGCGGGGTGCTTCGTCCGCTGACTCGGCCTCGGGGGAGCCGCGTCCGGTGTCCCGCAGCGGAGGCAGCGCTGGCCACCGTCGGCGTCGCGGGGGGCGTGCTCGGCGCGGAGGTCGCGCGCCCGCGGCCGATTCTGCGGCAGCGGCGGCGGCGCAGCGCCGCAGCGGTCCCTCTCTGATCGTGGCGAGCGTGCTGGTGGCCGTCGTGGTGGCCGTGGCGGGCGGGGCGGTGGTAATGGAGCGTCCACGCCGCAGGCCCGTCCTGCTGCCGCTGGTCGTGGCTCCGAGCCTCGTCCTCCTGCTCCTCCTCCTCCTCCTCCTCCTCCTCCTCCTCCTCCTCTTCCTCCTCCTCCCTCCCCCTCCTCCTCCGCCTCCGCCTCCTCCTCCTCCTCTTTCTCCTTTTCCGCCTCCTCCGACCGTGCTGGGCCCGAGCGTCTTGCGGCGGTGGCCGGGCCGTGCCCAGCGCTGCCGTCGCGGCCGCCGTCGGGCTCGAGGGCCGCAGCGGGGCCGCCACCCGCAGAGCCGCGGGCGGCCGCGGCGGGAGAGGCCGGGCCCGCCGCCCGGGAGTGCCGGATGCACTGTGCGGCTGCTGCCGTCGGGGGCCGTGGCGTGGGCCATGCTACCTCCGCAGATTTTTCTCACGGCGCCTCGTCTCATGCCACTGCGTCCCTGCCCCCCCCCCCCCTGGGCCGCGCACGTGCCGCCGGCCATGCTTTGCGCCCCCCCTCTTGGGCGCCCCCCTCTTGGCCGCCCCCGACGCCGGCGGCGCTGAGGTCGCGATCGCATACGCCCGCGACGACGTGGCCACCCGCGTCGCGCAGCGGCGCGGCGAGGTCGACGACTTGGCCTCCTCCGCCGTCGCAGGGTTCCGCAGCGCTGGGCGAGGTCAGGGGCCACATGCCGAGGCATACTTAGGGGAACAAGAAGTGGCATAAACATAAAAACTCGGAGGTCCGCGCGGATTTCTCGGATCGGCGCTGGACCCCCCTCCCTGGCGCACGTATCGCGCCAGGGGCGGCGCCGGAGGCGCCGCCGGGGGGCCCCAGCGCCGATCCGAGAAATCCGCGCGGACCTCCGAGTTTTTATGTTTATTTTACTTGTTGTTCCCCTACACATGCCGAGGCATATTGGCCAGCAGGTTATGGCCACGCTTGGCCCCCAGGTTGACGGCATGCAGCGGCGCTTCCAGGCGTAGCACGACACCCTCCGGCAGCAAACCACCGACAGCACCGACGCCGTCGAATCGACAGGCGCGGGCAGCAGTTGGACGCTCTTCGGAGCGAGGCCGACGGCCTTCGCAGGCAGGTGTTCCCAGACAAGTCAGAGGCGCTCAAGGCTCCTCCTGCTGGGTCCGATCGGGGCGTGTACCCGTCCGCCGTGGTCGTTATCTCGTCCGAACCTGCCTCACTGGAGGGGCCGTCTTTGATCCGTCCTTGGCAGAGGCATCGCCCGCCTTCGGGTGCGCTCCTCCTGGGCGAAGGATTGCAAAAAAACCGAAGGATTGCAAAACAACCCAGGATTGCAATCCTGTTTTTTTTTGCAACGAAGGATTGCAACAAAAAACCTGGGATTGCAAAAAAATCCTGGATTGCCAAAAAAACCTTGGTTTTTTTTTGCAATCCTGGTTTTTTTTTGGGGCAATCTTTTGCAATCCTTCGTCTGTGCCTGGGAGCGCCCGCCGCTCAGCCTCGCCTCGCTCGCCCGCCCGTCGCCCGAGGCCGACGCGGCCGCTGGAGGCTCGTGCTGCAGCGGCCCCAGCTCGTTCGTCGGAGGACGCAGCGGCCTCGCCGCCCGGCTGCGGGGCGTCCTCTCGGTTGGGCCCGTGGGGCCGGAGGCCACGGCTTGGCATCCCTCGGACGTGTGCGTCGAGGAGCATCCTTCTGGACGCCCGAAATGGGTAAAATGCCGAACAACAATTCCTGTTCATTTTGAACAGGACTCGCTGTCCGCGCCGCCGCAGCCTGTGTCCATTCGAGACAGAAGGTCGCCTGCCCAACAGCGGCCGCTGTTGGCTTGGGACAACATTTGTTGTTGGGCATAGTGCCCATTCTTTCAGTACCCATTTCGGGCGTCCAAAATCCTGGATCACCGGGCAAGCAACAGCAAACGCGCACGGACCCGAAGGATGCCCGGGGAGTGGACGTCCGAGCGACGGCGAGACGGCGCCTCTTGCGCCCCCCAGGTCAGGGTATTGCCCTGTGCGCACTCAGCGCGTCCCCTGCCCACACCCGCCAGGGTGGAGCAACGCACGTGGGCATGGCGCGGGTGCTCCCCGGCCACTTGCAGTATGGTGCTCGCGCTGTCAATGCTCTGCTCTGCTCTCCCAGGGCTTTGCAGCGTCGTCCGCACCCTGCTTCTGCATGCCCGCGCTCCGCAGCTGCCGGCACGCCCTCCTGCACTCCGCTGCGCTCCTGCTCTGGTGGACACTGCGCAGGCCCGACGAAAGCTTGAGCGGTCCTCTCCAATGTGCGCCCCCCAGCCAGGGTCAGAAGGGGCCTCGGAGGCGCACCGTCATGTAGCCTTATGTCGGGCGTGTCCCCCTACAGGGGGATTTTCGACGAAAAATAAAAAAGACCCCCAACATAGTCCAACAATAATCCAAAAATAGTCGGGGGAGTATTTTTGGAGTATTTTTTGACCTTTTTGGGGCATTTTTTTTGTTTTTTTTTTTTTTTTTTTTTTTTCAATTTCGTTGAAAATCTCCCTGTAGGGGACATGCCCGACTTAAATGTAGCCTGTCATGTCAGCCGGGAGAGCCGGCCCGCGGGCGGCCGCAGCGCGCCCAGAGCGGCAGCCTCGCCTGCCGCTCCCTGACACAGCCGCTGGCACGCGTCGGTCGTTGAAGGTGGGTATGACTTGTGGAAGGTTCCTCCTCCTCCTCCTCCCTCCTCCTCCTCTCTCCTCCTCCCTCCTCCTCCTCCTCTCCTCCTCCTCCTCCTCCTCCTCCTCCTCCTCCTCCTCCTCCTCCTCCTCCCCTCCTCTTCCTCCTAAACACCCCGCGTGCCTCCAGGGTGATCCGGGTGTCTTGGGTTTCGATGGTTTTGCGATGGACCGCGTGACGTTCCCACACCGGACGTCCATGGACGTCCTGGGGTCTCAGGCTTGTGTTTCTCGTGGAAGGTTTCTTGTGGGCTGGTCTCCACTGTATCTGTGGATTTTCAGATCCCAATCTGCTTCAAGCGCCTTCCCACTCCAAGACTCGATCTGCTTTTGCCGTGCTCTGTTCTTCCCTGGGCGGGCCTGAGCCCAATCTGCTTTGCCCGCCTTCCTACTACATACTCTTACCTACTTCTTCCGATCGACGCGTGGAGCTCCCACTGCAGCTCGGGACAGGGCTTGTAGCGGCCTTGCTTGTCTGCTGCGGTGCCACAGCCGGAAGGCATAAACATAAACATTCGGAGCTCCGCGCGGATCTCTCGCATCGGCGCTGGGCTCCCCCTAGCGACGCCTTCGTCGCAGCCCCCGGCGCGCTCCGCGCGCCAGGGAGGGATGCCCAGCGCCGATCCAAGAACTCCGCGCGGACCTCCACGCGTGTGCAGACTCGTGGCTCGAGGACCTTCAGCAGGCAAAGAAACACGCAGACACAATTAATCGTCAATCCTCCAGAAAATATTGGAAAACATGGGAAGGGAGGGGGAAGACGAAAACCCCCAAAATACGTAAAACATATGGGGAATCCTGCCGTTTGTGTGTATGTATTTGTGTGTCCTTGGGCCTCTTCAGACCTGGGGGGGGGGAGGGGCGACCGCGCTCTCGGTCGGCGGCCACCTTCGGACCCTGCCCCACCACCCAGCGATTTTGTCTGAGAGGGGGGGAGGTGGGGTTCCCTTCGCTCGTCAGGGGGGGGAGG